TGGTGTGCTGTGTGTATATGTGTGCTGTGTGTATGTATCTGCAGTGTCTGTATGGAGTGTATATGGTGGTGTGCTGTGTGTATATGTGTGCAGGTATGTACGTAACTGCAGGTGACTGTATGGAGTGTATATGGTGGTGTGCTGTGTGCTGTGTGCCTCTGTCACATGTGCAGGTCTTGCATGTGTGTATATGGCATGCGCTTGGTGCATGTGGATGTATGTACTCATGTAGTGTGTCTGTGGCATGTGTGCACATGTGTATGTGCTGCTTATGACCTATTCATGGTCGTGCATGTGTGGATAGGTATGTATGAGTGGTGTCACTGTGTGGATACATACTTTTCTGCACGTGTGTGTGTGGTGTGTGCACATGCATGTACCTGTGGCATGGGGTGTGTGCTCATGTGCATGAACATGTGGTAGGCACATGGTTCCTGTGTGCATGCGTCTATCTATCTGTCTGCCATGACCATGTCCCTTTCCCTGGGCTGACCTTTTTCCTAGGGCTATGTCTGGAAATGTGACCTTGACCCTGAGGCTGGCAACAAGGGTCAACCTGTGGGACTGCAGTGCATGGCTCAGGGGCTCACTGGCCAGAGAGAAGACAGTGGAGAAAATGCCCACTCCCTTCTCTGTGCGGATCTGGGCATGGTGGGGTTCTGCAGACTGGTTTTGTATGTGCTTTTCTGACCCATGTCCTGCTGGTCACTCGGGTTGGAATGTAGGGACTGGGCAGGTTTAGCTTGATGTGAACTTGTCTGTTGCAAAAGTGCCCAGCAGGGGAGCAGGTATGTTTTAGGGTGATCGACGCTTTGAGTTGCCTCCTGCTGGATGCAGAAATCCTCCACTGGCCAGCTGCCTGTGCATGTCATTTGTTCACCTGCCCATCCATCCTTCCATCCCATGACAGCCACCGAGTGTCTCTCAAGCTCTGGGATGAGTGAGGGAAGTGTAAACAATTCAGAAAACAATAGAAGAGGCCGGGCGTGGTAGCTCACACCTGTAATGCCAGCACCTTGGGAGGCCGAGGTGCGTGGACCACCTGAGGTCACAAGTTAGAGACCAGCCTGGCCAACATGGTGAAACACTGTCCCCACTAAAATTACAAAAGTTAGCCGTGTGTGGTGGTTTGTGCCTGTAGTCCCAGCTACTCGGGAGGCTGAGGCAGGAGAATTGCTTGAACCTGGGAGGCAGAGGTTGCAGTGAGCTGAGATTGTGCCACTGCACTCCAGCCTGGGCGACAGTGCAAGACTCCCTCTCAAAACAACAAAAAACAGCAGGAGAGAGCCCTGCTGAGCTTTCCTTGGGCTGGTCTTTTTCGAAGTAAGGCTTTTTCTGGGCGTGACTTTCCCTGGGTGGGGCTTTTCCCGGCGGAGGGGGCTTTCCCTGGGTCGGGTGTTTCTGGGAGGAGCTTTCCCTAGGCAGGGCCTTCCCTGGGCGTGGCTTTCCCTGAGAGGGGGCGGGGGGGGGCTTTCCCCGGGTGGGGCTGTCTCTGGGTGGGGCTTTTAGTGGGTGGAGGTTTCCCTGGGTGGGGCTTTCCCTGGGAGGGGCTTTTCGTGGGTGGAGCTTTCCCTGGGTGGGGCTTTTCTGGGTGGGCTTTTCCCTGGGTGGGGCTTTCCTTGGGTGTGGCTTTTTTCTGGGCAGGGCTTTTCCTGGGTGGGTCGCTTTCTGGGTGGAGCTTTTTTGGGTGGGCTTTTTTCCTGGGCGGGGCTTTCCCTGGGCTGGTCTTTTTCCGGGCTGGGCTTTCCTTTCTTGGGACTTGTGTATACCGGGACCTTGCCTAGTCACATCTTTTAAAATCTTTTCTTCTGGAACCCTGGCCAACCCTCCCTAGGGCCCACAGGTGGATGAGTGGTGTGGACAAGTGACCCATGAGCCTAAAGCTGAGTGCAGGGGGCATAATGGGGGATGATTAGTGCCTTTTTATAGCAGCTGTGGGAGGAGCAGGCAAGGCCCGTGGACAGCTCTAAGCAACAGCCCGACCTTGGGCTGGGGAGATTCCTGCCTTCTAGGCTGAGGAGTCCTGGCTGGCCCCACCCTGCGCTCTGCTCTGGTGAGGGGGCTACAGCTGTCTGCGGGTCAGAGGGTCGTTTGACGGACCGTGCACATGGTGGTCCGCCCTGGGAATGAGTGTGGCAGGCTGTTCCCCGAATGCAAGCCTGGACAGCTGGGCTGTGTTCCTCTGAGCATTTCGCTGCTGTTTGGCTCTGCTCTGTTGGAGCCTAGCAGAGCTTCTAGGTCAGGGGGCAGTGGGGTTGCAGCCTGATTTCCTGGGTACCTAACTGGTTCCCCTTCAAGCTGCTGCTTCAGCCGTTCCAATCCTTAGGAAGCCTGGCCCTCTCCCTGCCATGGGCCTTGTCACCTGGCACACCTGCACAGCACTTCCCTGGGCCTCTTCCCTGGGCCAGCCCCAGGCGGTGTCTGATAGCTTTGCAGGGTCTCCTCCATCTCCCACCCCCACAGCCTAGCTCAGGGCAAGCAGCGGCATGTGACTTCGGAAAGGAGAAGGGCCCAGGCAGGGAGGGATAGATGGAGGGTGTCACATCAGCCAGGGCAAGAGGAGTGTGGGTGTGGGTGTGGGTGGGGTGGGTGGGGCTTTCCGTGGTGAAGGTGCTTTGGAAGCTGAAGGTCGCTGTTCCCAACAGTATCCCAGCTCTGGCTCAGATGGGGGGTGCCTGGTCAGGTCCACCCTGTGTGCAGTGCGTAGGGCCCTGCCCAGCCTCACCTGGCAGAGAGGATGATGACCCGGGCCTCCAGCTCTTTTGCCTCCATCAGCAGGGCCGTCACGTTCTTGGTCCCTGGGTCAAACTGCAGCACCTTCTCCGCCTGCGGTGTGAGCAGAAGTGTTAGCAGGTGGCTGGGGCAGGGGACACAGCGCCTCAGGGGTGAGAGTCCGGCCGGAGCCGCTGGGAACCCCGAGGCAGCTTAGCTAGGGCTGCCGTGGTCTGCGCCTGCCACCTGCGCCTCCGCCTGCCTTCCTCATCCTCGCCTGGCCTGGCCTCGCCTCTCGGTCCTGTGCTGTCTTCAGCCTGCGCGCTCACCTGTGCTCGCCCTGTGCTCTCTCTGCTCTCTCTGGGTCTCTCTCTCCACCTCACTCCTGTCCTCATCTTTGCACTGAGCATGCAAGCTGACTCAGGAGGCGTGCAGCGGACGGGAAACAGAAGAGTTTTGGAATGCAACCAGGAACAGAGATGGGGCTGACTTTTCCAAAACCACGGGAGGTCCTCTGAGGTCTGATTCCGCAGGCCCCTGCAGGAGCAGCCCGGCCCCAGCGGGCGGGTGGCCAGGCGGGCGGGCTCCCTCCCGGGTTCCACAAGGAAACCCTGGGGGTCCCGGAGATTCGCATGCACTTCCCGGAGAGCAGCTCCTCCTGCAGCCGCGCCTGCCTCGAGGGTGCAGGCTAGGGTCACGGCGGGTGGGCCTCAGGCACCCGCGCCGCCACGCCTGCCCTCTCCTGCCTGCCCTCTCCTGCCTGCTGCCGGCTGCCTCTCCTCATTGCTTGGGCCTGCGGCTCGGCGGCTGGGCCACAGTGGCCCTAGTGGCCGAGGCGCCGAGGCCAGGGCTCCCTAGCCGTGGGTGGCGTGCACGTCCATGCATATATACCTTGGGTCCGCGCTTGTTGTCATAGGACAGTTGGTCGAGGTTTTCATAGTTCCTTTTTTTACTCTGATGAATAATGTGCACAGAGAAAATATGCAGACACAGAAGAAGATTATAAACGGTTGAAAATGACGGCGCTAAAGCAATCACACCACCTCCTCGGCACGTCTGCAGACGGGCTCCGACCTGGAGCTCGCAAACACCGAGGCCCGGGGCGGGGCGGGGGCGGGGCGGAGCTGGGGTGAGTGACGTGGGGGCGGGGCCACGGAGGCTCCCCGCCGCGAAGCTGTGCTCTTGGAAACGGTCGCTCTCAGGAGAAAGGGAGGCCCTGTCCGCGTCCACCGTGCACCGTTCGGAGGGAGCCCCACCTGCCACCCCCACCCTGCCATGCGCCTGCTGTGTGGCCCCAGCAGTGCCCACCCCAACCCGCGTCAGTCCTGAGTGGGAGGTGAGCAGCCCCCCATGTCCCACCCCCGGGCCTGTCCCCATGTCCCACCCCCTCCCTCTCCTTGGCCTCCCTCTGCCTCTCTAGAGGCCAAGGTGTCCTCACTAACTGGGTGCCCGCGCCCATCGGCTCACATGTGCGCCCAAGAGGGTTTGTGTGTGCATACGTGCGCCTGCAGGGGTGGCATGGGCCTGTGGGTGTCTGCATGGGAGAGTTAGCCCATGAAAGCCGGTGAGGGTTGGGGAAGGGCCAGATGGTCTGAGCATGCCTGGGCTTGTGTGTGTGCCTGTGTGTGTGGGTATGCGTGTGTGTGCATGTGTGCATGTGTGTCCGTGCATGGGTGCAGGTGTATGAATGCGTGCATATGTGTGTGTGCAGCTGTGTGTGCATGTATGAGCGTGCATGCGTCCATGTGCGTGTGTGTCTGTGCATGCATATGCGTGTGTGCGTGTGCTGGTGGGTGCAAGTGAGGGTGAGCATGCACATGAGTAGTGCCCTGTGCGTGTGTCCCGGTGCGTGTGGCGCTGGGGCAGCATGGAGGCAAGTGTGGCCTGAGCCTGTGTCCCGAGTTTCGGAGTGTGATGGGAATGTGTGCGCGAACCGGTGAGTGACAGCAGCTGGTTGGGTGTGCAGGGGTGAGTAGGATGGGAATCCATGGCCGGCTGTGGGTGGGCACGCCAGAAGGTGAGGGGCCATTGGGCACCAGGGTGAGGGGCACTGTTGTGTGTGAGGCCCTCGGTTCTCATGCCCGTCTCCCCCAAGACTCAGCAGACCCCCAAAACGGGACTCCCAGGACCCTCTGGTCTGCCCCTGGCTTTACCCACCACCCTTGCCCTCCGGTCCCTCCCAGGGCCTGTGGTGCGTTGGGGGTGCCAGGGTGGCCCTAAGTTCGATGAAGCCAGCCCTGACACGAAACATGCTCCCAGCCACCCCTTGGTCTGGCCCTCCTCAGCCTGGGCCTCCTCCCCCTGCCTGACCAGGAGCCGGCGTAGGTGCTGAGCACCCAGGGCTCCAGTGGGGATCCTGCAGCCAAGCTTCAGCTGTGCCTGAGGCTGCAAATGGAGTGTCGAGGAAGGGGGCAGGGGTCTCTTGGACCCCCAATCCCAGCTCTAGCTCTCTGTAGCCCCACAGAGTGGACGCCTGGCTGTGTGTGGGGTCAGTGTGTCCTAGAAGCAGATGGCTAATTGATCTTGGTGAGGAGCGTTGAGGGAGCCCTGTGGTGGGGGCAAGGGGGGAGGGGAGCCCACAGGGGCGGCCTGGGCTTCGGGGGGCAGGTGTCTGTGGGTGGGGCTTTGCTGAGCTGTGGACGCAGGGCTTCAGGGGAGGCCACGCCGGGGAGGACAGGGAATGGGCCCAGCAGGGAGGGGACAGGCCTGCGGGGGGGGGGGCTCTGTGCAGGGGAGGCCTTGCCCGAGGAGGCTGCTGGGCACTCAGCACGGGACGGTGGGAAGAGGGACGTGAAATCCTGAGCCCGGCTGGGGCCTCCAGGGAGCGGAGGGCGTGGGCAGGAGGAGGGACGAGGGCGCGGGGCAGCGCGGGGCAGGGGTGTTTGCGGAGCTCCAGGTGGTCTGGCCCTCGCCCCGCAGGGACTGACACGAAGGAGATTTCGACTAATGGCAAAAGCGAGTGAAATGAGCCGAGGACAGGCTGGGGCGGGCGCTCGCCAGACGCGGTGGTGCTGACCATGCACGATGGAAAGAAGAGGGTGTCACACACGGAGCCACAGACACACGGCGGCCCGTCCTGCACCTCGGCTCCGCCAGGCGCCCGCCCGCGGCACGACCCTCACCTTGGACTCGCGCTCCTCCAGCAGCGTCTCCAGGCGCTTCTGAGCCGCGCGGCCCTCGTGGTCGTCGCTGACCAGCAGGATGACGTGGTTCCAGCTGTAGACTCGCATCATCTCGAACCACACGCTCGACTGGTGGGAGTAGGGCGGCACGGTGCGCAGGAAGCTCAGGTGGATGCTCTGCGGGGCGCGGGGGCACGGCGGGCTGAGGGCGACCGGCGGGAGGGCGCGCCCACCCTCCTGCCGCTGGAACGCCGCGGGGGGCTGCGGACCCCCTTCTTCCCCCCATCCCCACCCCCTAGGGACACCTTCTAGACCCTGGGGCCCCCTTCCTCCCCCCATCCCCA